AGTATACTTTAAGTTAAGTATATCAAGTATACTTTAAGTTAAGTATATCAAGTATACTTTAAGTTAAGTTAAGTATAAGTATATAAAGTATACTACACCCATACTTGTAGTGTACTAGAAAGTATACTGATTTAATACTTGTTTGGACTAAATTGGGACATTTTATACTATTTTTCATTATATCAAATAAAGTTTATAAAAAGTAAACTTCAAGTACACTTCCTCATTTTTAGTGTAAAATAAGTATACTTGTAGTACACCTTTAAATAAACTACTTTTTGCTAAGGGAATGAATGGCTGATAACATCCGAAGCGGGTGGCTGACTGCTCAGTGAGTCCTAACGACGCCCTTGTCCAGGTCTCGGCTGAACACCAAGTGCCATGGTTCAGAGAAGGCCCTCATCACGCAGGTGAACACGCCGCTGGGCTCAAAACTCGTTTACGACGGCGAGAGGAAGAGGAACCTCCAGGTCAACCAAGAGATTTTCAGCACCTTTCCAAAGGTGAGCTGTTTCTGCAAACGTCACTCTGAAGCTGCGTGTGCAGGTTCCTTTAGAAAAACGTCAAGATGTCTTCACCGACCAGAAAAAACTTTCCTGTTTCATCACTTCCTTTGTTTTTATTTTCTACTTTTATCTTTTAGTCGCTGTTTTAGCTTTAAGCTGCTGTTCTGCTTTTAACTACCGGTACTATTCTGCCAGTTTTAGCTTTTAGTTTCTCTTTTGCTACTTTTAGCTTTTGGCTACTATTGTGCTACTTTTAGCTCAATTTCTTCTATTATTAACTTTTAGGTTATATTTACTACCTTTATGTTTTTAGCTGCTGTTTTGCTACTTCTACCGTTCTGCTTTTTTAGTTACCATTAACTTACCTGCACTGTTAGTTTTCACCTTCCATTTTGCTAGTTTTAGCTTTCAGCTAACATTGTGCTTTTAGGAGCTGTTCTGCTACTTTTAGCTTTCAGCTCAATTTCTGCATCTTTAAGTTCTTGTTCTACAATCTTTATCTTGTAGCTGATGTTTTGCTAATATCTTTTAACTACCGTTCTGCTTAACTTTAGCCATCATTTTACCACTTTTAACTATTATTCATCTAGTTTTATTATTTAGCTCCATTTTTGGTAATTTTAGCTTTTCACTATTGTTCTACTACCTTTATCTTGTAGCTGCTGTTTTGCTACTTCTACTGTTCAGCTTTTTAGCCACCATTAGTTTCCTGCATTTTTAGTTTTCACCTACCATTTTGCTAGTTTTAGATTTCAGCTACTATTTTGTTACATTTAGGAGCTGTTCTGCTACTTTTAGCTTTCAGCTCAATTTCTGCATCTTTAAGTTCTTGTTCTACAATCTTTATCTTCTAGCTGAGGTTTTGCTAATATCCTTTAACTACTGTTTTGCTATTTTAGCCACTATTTCACCACTTTTAGCTATTATTTATATTGTTTTATATTTTAGCTCATTTCTTTAGCTTTTACCGATTCTGCTGCCTTTATCTTCTAGCTGCCGTTTTGCTAATATCTTAACTACTGTTCTGCCTTTGTAGCCACCATTTTACCATTTTTAGCTATTATTCATTGAGTTTTATTTTTTAGCTCTATTTCTGGTATTAGTTTTTAGCTATTGTTCTGCTACCTTTATCTTCAGCTGCTGTTTTGCTACTTCTACTGTTCTGCTTTTTTTTTTTTAGCTACCTTCACGTTTAGTTTTCACCTACCATTTTGCTAGTTTTAGCTTTCAGCTACCATTCTGCTACTTTTAGCTTCCAGCTAAAGTTCTGCAGCTTTAATTTCTTGTTCTACAATCTCTATATTCTAGCTGATGTTTTGCTAATATCCTTTAACTACTGTTTTGCCACTTTAGCCACTATTTCACCACTTTTAGCTATTATTTATATTGTTTTATATTTTAGCTCATTTCTTTAGCTTTTACCTATTCTGCTGCTTTTATCTTCTAGCTGCCGTTTTGCTAATATCTTAACTACTGTTCTGCTTTTTTAACCACTGTTTGACAATTTTAGCTATTATTTATATAATTTTATCTTTTAGCTCATTTCTTTAGCTTTTACCTATTGTTCTGCTGCCTTTATCTTCTAGCTGCTAGTTTGCTAATATTTGCTACTAAAAATCATTAGTTGTTTAACAGCTTTTTACAGTTTTGATTTTTTTTTTGTGCTTTTAGCTGTTTTTTTGTTTAATGTTTTGGGTTTGCTTCCTGAAAACAACGTTTTATAAATAAAGTTTTCCCTTTCTGTCAACTCGTCTTTCCCTTTCCTTGAAAGCGAGCGTTTTATGTTTTGGATTTTTAAACTAATTTTCTCTCACTGACTCCAGGGGCCTCTCTTCTCAAACCAAACATGGCACACCTGTGCCGTCGTGGGAAACGGTGGGATCCTGGCGAACAGCAGCTGCGGGAAAGCCATCGATTCGGCTCATTTTGTCATCAGGTGCGGGCGCCGCGTGAAGAAAAGGATCAAACGCACCTTTGTGGAAGACTCAAGCTGTGACTTTATCTTTTCAGGTGTAACCTACCTCCTTTATCAAACGGATATGAGAAACACGTCGGCACCAAGACGGACCTCGTGACAGCAAACCCGAGCATCCTCTTAGAAAAGTGAGCGAGAGAATCCGCCTCATTTGCCTTAAAGTGATACTTCCGATCTTTTAAAGTGGGGAGGTAATGAGTCATCACTGTCTTACCTGTTGTGGGTAGTGCTTTGAACAACCTCACTCTTGACCAAAAGAGTAAATTATCCCTCGTTTAATGAGCTAACAGATCGTTTGAGTGAGAAGAGTTGCAGCTAGTTCTATTTATGTTTACAAATTACCATAAAGTTTTATATAAATACAGTAGTTGCTCGTTTATCACCGGGGATCCGTACCCTGAAGCCCCACAATAAGTGAAAAACCATGAACTAGGAACAGTAGTACAAGTAGTAAGTAGTAATTTTATATTTATATATATATATATATATGTCATTTTATACCCTTCCCACACTCTTGCAATATTAAACAATGTTTTTAAACTCTAAACGCTCTAAAAGAGCACAGAATGTCATGATTTCAGCTCCCTGCCTCCGACTGCACTTTGGGTCACGCCCACTTCTCTGCTCTGCACAGAGATCAGCTGATCAGCTGCAGGAGGAAGTTATCCCACAGCTGTGATCTGCACACAGGCGCTAAATCATTTAAAATTATTTATTTAAATTTTTTAAAAATCCATGCCGATTGTGTGGCTCATCCATCAATCAGCTAATTATGCGTCATGCCCAATCTTACTTTGAAAAACCGCTATAGAGCGAGTCCACGAAAAACAAACCGCGAAGTAGTGAGGGACTACTGTAATCGTTTCTCGCAAAACTGATGCGTATAAAGAAAGTATTTGGATTAGCATTTAGCTTGTCAATGTGTTCCAAATTAAACTCAAAACTGATTAAAAAAATGCATCTACAACAGGTAAAATACTGATTATTCATAGCTCTTCCACCAAACCCCATGCCAGGAGATATTTCTGTGGTTTTGTTTCCTCTCATCGGCTTTGTGTTTGTAGGTATGCAGCTCTAAATGGACGCCGACGCTCGTTCGTCGAGAATCTGAAAAGCTACGGCGACTCCATGCTGCTCCTTCCCGCCTTCTCTTACGGCCGCAACACTCCCGTTTCCCTCCGGGCTCTATACACCATCGAGGACTTTGGAAGTCCCATCCAGCCTGTTTTCTTTAATCCAGGGTACCTCCAAAGTCTGGCTCTTTTCTGGCGCTCCCAGGGCCTGAGGGCGGCGCGGCTCAGCACGGGCATCATCATGACCAGCCTGGCGCTGGAACTCTGCGAAAACGTGAATCTGTACGGGTTCTGGCCCTTCAGCATTCACCCGTACACCCTCCTAGACCTGACGAATCACTACTACGACGACAGGAAGACTAAAGTGAAGGTCCACGCCATGCCGGATGAGTTTAACTTCCTGCTGCGGCTGCACGGCCAGGGCGTGCTCAGGCTCCATCTGGGGGGCTGTGAACCAGATGAGAAGTAGTCGGAGGAAAGTGTCTTCTCCGCAGCCTCGGGATGAATCCAAACAAAACCTTTTTACATTTTTTAACGGACTGTGCGAGAAAACACCTCAACAGCCACAAACCGCGCACTATCCTCAAAAGATGAATCTAAGAACAGCACTCCTGTCTACAGCTCTGTTTGTTGTCTGTGAAAATATATTTTGGGGTTTAACAAGCATTTATATATATATATATATATATATACATATATATACATATATATATACAGTATATATACTCGCTCTATCGCGGTTTTTCAAAATAAGATTGGACATGACACACAATTGGCCGATTGATGGATGACCCGCACGGCTGGCATGAAATTTTTATTTAAAATAAATTATTTAAAATTATTTAGCACCTCGTGCACTTTGTGCAGCCCACACTGCAGGATTCGAGTGGAAAAGTGGGCGTGGCCAAGAGCGCTTGCAGGTGGCAAAGAGCAGCGGAGGCAGGGAGCTGAAATCATGACATTCTGTGCTTTTTTTTTTTAGAGAATTTAGAAACATTGTTTAAAATTTTTCAAGAGTGTGGGAAGGGTTTAAAATGCCTTTATAAATATAAAAATAAAATTAATAAAATTAACTACTACTTACTACTTGTACTACTATTCCTACCTCGCGGTTGTTCACTTACCGGGTCTTCAGGGTACAGATCCCCCGTGATAAAGAGGGACTATTGTAAATGTGTTTTAAACCCTTCCCACACTCTTGCAATATTCTAAACATTGTTTCTAAAGTCTAAACGCTCTGAAAGACAGAATGTCATGATTTCAGCTTTCTGCCACCTGCCAGTGCTCTCAGCCACGCCCACTTCTCCTGCAGCTGTGGGCTGCACATAGGTGCAGCAGGTGCTAAATAATTTAAAATAATTTATTTTAAATAAAAATTCCATGACGACTGTGCGGCTCATCCATCAATCAGCCAATTAGTGTCATGTCCAATCTTGTTTTGAAAAACCGCGATAGAGCAAGTCCACAACAAACCAACCACAAAGTAGCGGGGGACTACTGTATGTGGAAAACTGCTGGAGTAAACTTTTAAACTGCATCGTTTGATATGATAAATGAAACTTTTTTAAAGTTTCAGTTCACACTTTGCGATAAGAAGCCTTCCACTTTTCGTGCCTTATTTTATTCAAAGACAGCTTTTAACGCAAAATGAATGTATCTCGACAGAAACGACAAGCCTCGTTTAGCAGGTGGTTTTTGTTTGAACTGGATGAAGACACTGAATGTAAAGTATCGTTTAACGTTTTTGTGGACCGGCGTGTCGTGTGATGGATGTTAGCGGCAGATGAGCAGAAACGTTTCAGCCGGTTGTGACGATCTCTGGATAAACACTGATGTCTGCGTCGCCTCGAAGGAAAACCGTCGTGTCTTCCTTCACCTGACGACTGAAAATTAAGATTATGTTCAAGGTATTTAGACAAATTGAGTATCTGTTACAGATTTGAGTTTCTACGTTCGGCACACGTGTTGTAACATTTTAGCGTTTAAATCCAAGAAACTTTTTGATGTTCCCGCTAAATCTATGCAAAGTGAAACGAGCACGTGTGCTTTGGTGAACATAGCTGCTCATAATAATTGTTTTTGAACATAGGAACAGATCTGGGAGGGGTGGGGGCGTCATGTTCATACTTATAGTCAGTGGTGGAGAAAGTACTCAAACACTGTACTTAAGTAAAAGTACAAATAAACATACAAAAATGTACTCTAGTAAAAGTAGAAGTACCACATTAACATTTTTACTTAAGTAAAAGTAAATAAGTACTTGCTTTTAAAATACTTAAAGTATTAAAAGTAAAAGTACTTGCTGAATGTATTACCTAATGTAATGGTCTACATATCTTTAAGTCTGCCTACCATATGTATATTTTCTGTAATACATTAATAGTGTTGAGTCATCTTAATGAACAATGCTGCAGATAATACATGTTTTTATTGAGTTTACTCTGTGACACATTTCACACTTGGACTTGTGATTCTGTGCGTCAGAATTTCAGGGATGACATTCAGAGTTAAATGCCATTAAGCAAAATAAGAAAGAGGAATGATTATAAGTTTGAAAGTTTTTATTTAACACAAATCAAAACCAATGTGTCATTTTAACTGCAGTAAAACATTTAAGTAAAAGTTGTCTGCCTGAACAAAAGGAGCATTAGACACAACTAGCAAAGGAACAGGCTTTGATTATTTCCACTGATATTTCAACTCCAGTTTGTCATCAACTCTAGTTAAAATACTGTCTATTCAACCTTGTAATGGGTCAATATTGAACAATATTTTAACTTCCTGACACCATTTTTAAAACTTGGACCTGAGTGTCGAGACATTTGGAGACATCTCTTGTCTCCTAACATCCCATGAACTGACACATTTCAATATTGCAGCAAGAATTTCTTGTTCAAGTTCAGAAGAAGTTGGTTTTCAAAGATTTTTGAGTCCAGTTTGGCTTTTTTGGAAGAGAGAAGCTGTCCTGCTGTACTGAACAGTCTTTCAATAAGGCCATGGGTGGAGCAAATCTTCTGGGTGACTCTCTTACAATGGAATACATTTTGGGTGTAGTGGTGCAGCAGGTGCACCCAGCTCAGTGACATATATACTAGAATATACGTCATTGGTCCAGCTCTTCTTGAAGGTGGGCCTAATGTTACCTGCCCACTTTGCAGTGATTCAATGGACCAGCTCCCCTCTCACCATTGGTTACTTTCAAAGTAACAAACAAAACAAAAAGCCACAACTTGAATGTAACTTGTAATGCAACGCTTTATAAAAATGTAGTGTAGTAGAAAGTACAGATACTTGATGTAAAATGTAGTGGAGTAAAAGTATAAATTACCCACATTTAACTCTACTTAAGTAAAGTACAGATACATGAAAAATGTACTTAAGTACAGTAACGAAGTATTTGTACTTAGTTACATCCCACCACTGCTTATAGTAATAATAATAATCTCTGTCAGGCAGAAAATAACCTTCAAGTTGTGTAAAACCAACACTTTGTAAGACAGTTTTTGGATAATATGAACTTTTTTTTCTGTGAACACTAAAATGAAAAGTGCAAATAAATAAATATCACATGCTTCCTGCGTCGCAGGCCTTTCAGCTTTTATTATTTGCTGTCTTGGAGCCTTCGAGTGCCTCGAGGATTAACCGAACGGAGCAGCTTTGTTCCTGATTCTTCACATTTGCTCCAGTTTTGTGTCGATCCACAGTTTCTGAAGTTTGGAACGTCAGAAGTTGAATGTTCATAGTTTTGCACTGGCTTGCATTTATTGGTCATATTCTTTTTTGTTATTTCTCATGTAAATCAGTGGAAATTTAAATGATGTTGGGACTTTAGGATGAGCTCCACTTGCAGCTAAGGGACTGTGGGAACCAAATGGACATCCCATAGGACAAAGAGCAAAATTATGGACCAAACCTTTCAGAATATCTGAATAAGTGACCGCAGGGTAAAATAGAAAGTGGAGGACCACCAGGTTAAGTATCAGCCACAAAACGGATCTGAAAGTTTGTCACATCTTCTGCAGAGGTTGAAGTGAGGTCCAAACCCTGCTCCAACAATAAACTGAAACAACTGATTCACATGTTTCACAGAGAAGCCTATTAATCACCATTTGATTCAAATCAGGTGTGTTGGGGCAGCGAAACACCTAAACATGCAGGACTGTGTCCCTCAAGGACCAGAACTGGACACCCTGATCCAGACTTGTGATGTAATAAGGACTAAATATGCTTTTCTTGTTGTTGTGAGTTAAAACCAGCAGGATCTGGATTAAAGGTGTTGCCTCGTCATATTTTTGGGACCTGAATCTGTTCGTTAAAGATGCGTGGCTTTAAGTCTCGCCTTTTTCTCTGCGTTTAATCGTGACGTCACATGACCTTACTCTTAAGCACGAAATACCTAATTACAGCTAAACATTTTAGAAAAACAGCAGCAAGATAAGGAGAATGAAACGAGAATCAACAACAACAAAAAAGTTTTTATAAAGTTTATTATTATTTTTGTTTCAATAAGGGGAAGGTTTTGATTGTTTACGTGGTTGCAGCGGGACGTTAAACCTGGGACCACCCTGTGGGGGCACCTTAACCACAGCTTCAACATCTGGATTCTGGTATGCAGTCCAGGTTGTCCCTACTTGCTGATGACCTAGACTTTGGACCACAACCTGGAAGTTGAAGCCAGAATGGGACCAGGTTCAGGTTAGGTTTATTTTTCATGTGCAAAATCAACACAAGGTCAACAACGCAATGAAATGCTCAGGACGGGAAGACTCGCCAAAAAACAACAACAAGAAATACCAAAGCATGCAGCAAAAATACTTAAAACATACTAAAAATACTACTAAAATACTAAAAATATATTAAAATACTGCTAAAATACTATAAAACATACTAAAAATACTATTAAAATACTAAAAACATTCTAAACATACTACTAAAATACTATAAAACATTCTAAAAATACTACTAAAATACTATAAAACATACTAAAATACTACTAAAATACTAAAAACATTCTAAAATACTATAAAACATAAAAAATTTTGCTAAAATACTAAAAACATTCTAAAAAATACTACTAAAATACTATAAAACGTATTCAAAATACTGCATAAATACTATAAAACATACTAAACACTACTAAAATACTAAAAACAATCTAAAAATACTAGTAAATACTATAAAACATATTAAAATACTGCTAAAATACTATAAAACATATTATAAATACTAGTAAAATACTAAAAACATTCTAAAAATACTGCTAAAATACTATAAAACATACTAAAATACTACTAAAATACTAAAAACCAAGGTGCCAAATTTGCAAAAGAAATACATCTTCAGTGTGATTCGATTAGCAGTGAGGTTCTTTCAACATAGTTCTGTTCTGTTAGCATCATGGTCAGCTTAGCAGGTCCGGTCCGCAGCTTGATGGTACTAAGGACCGCAGCAGCTGCCCTCACAGACCGCAGTCCAGACCCGTGTCCGGCAGACAGAGAACATCCCAGGTTTCCCTGAAGATCCGACCAGCTCTCCCACTCACTTGTTTCAGTAAACAGAAAATTGCCTTTCGCTAAAATCAATAAAAATAGCGCTGAAAATGTTTTCAGGTGTTCTCACCTTCGGCTATGCAGTTAAATATTGTTTTTTTTTCAATAAGTGTGATTATAATTAATTATTTCATGCCTAAAAATAAGGTGATTGTGTGAAAGTTCATAGGTGGGACTTATATCAGGGGAGTCCAATCCTGGTCCTTGAGGGCCACAATCCTAAATGTTTCAGATGTGTTCCTGCTCCAACACATTTAATTTGAATTAACAGGCTTCTGCAGAACTTGACGAGATAATTCAACCATCAGGTGTGTTGCAGCAGAGGAAGAAGTGAAACCTGTGGCCCTCGAGGACTAACCCCGGACATCATGTGTGCAGACTCTGGTAAGAAAACTGCAACATGGCAGCTTCTGTGAACAAGAAGGATGAGGACATTTGGTCTAATACAGGGGTGGGCAACATTTTTTCCAGAGGGCCAAATCAAGGTATTTAAAGCAAACCAAGGGCCGCATAGAGAAATAGTAAAACATTTTCTTTAAGACAAATAATCTGGAAAACGTCTTTAACGATTTACCTTGTTGTAGCAAAGATAGCATGCTTGATAAAAATGTTTGTTAGCTTAAATATGTAAAAACAACAACAGCTAAAAAGACCATACACCGGTACTTGCTCTTCTGAGTCTTTAAAGTTCAGTCTAGTTCTGAAAACACGACTTCAGGAAAAAAGTTTTTGTAATTTCTTAATCCAAACGTTTTCAATGAAATTGTCCAAGATATTTAATTTAGACTTGAGTTTCATTGATAAAATGCATATTTTCATCAACTTATTTAAAAGTTATCAGTTGAGAATTTTTAGGGCCGAATAGAGATCGTCCAAGGGTCACTTTTGGCCCTCGGGTCATATGTTGCCCACATCTGGTCTAATATATACAGTTTCTGGTGAGGTAGTTGTGTAGTCAAGACCACCTAACCCAAGACCAAGACCAGAGGTGGGAGGAAACCAAACCAGTGTGAGATCTTTCAAACCATTTCTGTAATCCTAATAATCATGTGTTGATATTTAAAGTTTTCCTCTGCCAAAAATATATATATTTTTAAAGTTCTGATGGAAACATTTTATTTATTGATCTGCTTCTTGGTGCATGCACTATTATTTTACCGTATTCTCCTCTTTATAATCCTTGTGTTACTTTTAGGTCATTATTTGGTTGCGGTGTTAGCGCTGGGGGAGGTGGGGTGAGGAGGACGGAGGAGATTCCTACAAAACGAGCAAACTTTGTTTGAGCCAGCAGAACGGGTCAGAAACTCAGACAGGACAAGACATGAACATGCCCACCACCGTCTTCTTGCAGTTCCTGAGTGGGCGGGTGGGGCCGATCACCCACTGCTGTCTCCAGTCAGCTGATGAGAGCTGCCAGTACTGAAGACTGTTTGGACTGCTGGTTCCATTCCTGGTACGGTGTCTAGTGTTAAAGATTATACTGACCTTTGTTGTGTCCCTCGACCGGCCGGCCTGTATCTCCCAGCGTCTCCTTGGATCCCACCTCTGGAACTTCTACCTACAAGCATTAAAATAAAACGTCCACCCAACAGCCTTGAGGTTCCTCCTGCTCTCCATGGACATACCTGATCACCCTGGTCATCCCCTTCGCTCCCTGCCCATTAAAGAAGAAACACCAGTAAGACTGATCATAACTCTGGACTACAAACACCATTAAGGAACCATGCTCACCATGTCTTCTGTCCTGCACATCTCTGTGGTGTTCCTGGAAACTCACACTTCATAAAACCCTTCTACATCAACTGCTGCTGGTGTCTTCTTTCTCAAATAGTGGTTTTAAATTGTCCTAAAGCGTGACGCCGTAATGCATTGACTCTCTGTGAGTCTGGCTGTTCTCCAAAGCCCTGTAGTAAATAAAGAAGTCCACAGCTGCTCGTTTGTGAATCGGTTTTCTCTATGGCAGTTCAGGGGTTTTAGTGTCTCTCTTCAGTTTCTGAGACTCTGATAAAGAAGGAGTTGAACTTAATGAAGTTTGACGTCTGGGTGGAGTCACTGTTTTAAGCGGTTGGATCATCACAGAAGTTAAGATGTTAACACAACACTGTTCAGACGTCACACGCTCGGCGTTCTGGCTCCAAACTGGAGTCTTCTCACCTCATCCACTGCTTCTGTTTTTAATCCTCCATACAACTCAGTTCAGTTTATTTCTAAAGCTCCAAGTCACAACAGAAGTCGTCTCAGGGCACTGAACAGAAACATTCATATATAAAAATAATAATTTAACATTATTTATCTGAGGAGCAGCTTTGAGTTTAACTCCATCACTGAACTCTCATCTTGAACAAGCATGAAGGCGACAGTGGAAAGAAAAACTCCCTCATGAAGAAGAAACCTTTAGCAGAACCAGGCTCAGGAGAAGCGGCCATCTTCTTCAACCGGTTGGGTTTGAGAGGAATAGATACACAATGGCAGTTCAAGAATCACATGTTAAGATAGAAATAGTATCAAATGAAACCGAATCAATTTTAACAATTCATTTAAGGAAATGAGGTCAATTTGTCCTCTAGTAGTCTAAGTCACAACAAGCCAACCCTAGCTAACTAACTATAGGATTTATCAAAAAGGAAAGTCTTAAAACTGGACAATGTGTCAGCCTCAAGGACAGAAACTGGAAGTTGGTTCCACAAGAGAGGAGCCTGAGAACTGAAAGATCTTCCTCCCGTTCTGCTTTTGAAAACTCCAGGAACCACAAGTAAACCTGCAGCCTTAGACGTGCTCTGTTAGTAAAATATGGAACAATAAGATCTGTAATATAAGATGGAGCTAGGTTGTTGAGAGCTTTGTAGGTTAGAAGTAGGATTCTGAATTCTATTCTGGGTTTGACAGGGAGCCAGTGGAGAGAAGCTAAAACTGGAGAGATATGATCTCTCCCAGTAACTCCAGTTAAGACTCTGGCAGCAGCATTTTGGATCAACTGAAGACGTTTTAAAGAAGTATTTGGACACCCAGATAATAAACCGTTGCAATAGTCCAGTCTGGACGTGACAAATGATGGACCAGTTTTTCTGCATCATCTTTAGATCAGATGTTTCTAATTTTAGTGGAAGAAGGAGGTTCTAGAAACGTTTTTAATGTGGGGGATAAAAGACACGTCCTGATCAAAAATAACACCAAGATTTTTAACGTTAGAGCTGGAGGACAGATTAATGCATCCAAGGAGGGAGAAAGACTTATATGGGAACGTCGAGTATTAAAATCCTCCAAATAAAAGTTCATGTGTTAACTACACAAAGTTTGTTTTCTCAGTCATCCAGGTATATAACAACAAAAAAAGGTTGAATCATGTCATCTGGACTTCGTTTTTTTGTTAAAAAGAAACGTTTCGCCCCTCATCCAAGAGGCTTCGTCAGTCTGAGGCCCAGCCATCTGGTATTACCCAGAAGCCACCCTGACTCTTGTGTTTCAAGCCTGCCTCAGATACCCCTGAAGTCTGGCCTTTTCACTAATGGTTTTAAG